ATTACATTGTTTGATTATATTACATTGACCTGAATACTGTCAGAATATACAGAAAACCATAACCATACAGTCGATTTCATTTGTATGTTTGGTCTGTGTTCATTTATGCTTGTAATTTGTTTATAATAAATGCACTCGCTGCAAAATTATTACAGTGCAAAACAATGAATTCTTTATAAATGTTTAGAGTTGTTTAAATCCTCTTATGAAATTAATATCACAATATAAATACCATAAAAACAAAATCTTGCAATATCACGTTTTTCCAATATTATGCAGACCTAAGACAGATGGAAAGATAAATGGTTACATAGATTGACAAGACACCACAAACAGATGGATAGATGTTTAAAGACTGGCACACACATACAAATATAGATGTATATGGAGCCATAGACCGACAAATATATGATAAACAAGAAATAAGAGAGGAGATTTTTAATAGGAAATAAGAAAATTCTGTCATCATTTACTCACACTTCGATTGTTCCAAACTTGTTTCGTTATTCCATTGATCACAAAAGAAGATATTACGAAGAAAGCTGGAAACCTGTAACCACTGACTTCCATACTGTTTGTTTTTTCCTACTTTGAATGTCAATGTTTGTAGGCTTTCAGCTCTCTTTTCAGCTCTGCTTGGCACAGAAAGGAAATTTGTCTTTAACACTGGATTTAAGACAACAACTGCATACATCTGCATCATTTTTTACAACCACCACATTCACTTCATACAGTGATCCATCCGACTTAGGACAACAACTGCAATTGGGATAAATGACTTTTTATAAGCATTTTTCCGTGCTCAATGAATTTTAAACCTGCGTCCTGATGGGAACATTTCAAAAGCTGAGTGAAGAGGGTTTGTGTACTATCTTTAAAAATTGCTAATTGCTGTTTTTGCCATAAAGGAGTCAAATAGAATCTGGAGTGTATGTTGTTTTGTAACCAGATATTGGTCACACTTTACTATAAGGCTCATTAGTTAATGTTAATTAATGCATTTACTAACATAAACAAACAACAAACAATACATTTACTACTGTATTTGTTCATGTTAGTTAACGTTACTTAATGAAAATACAGTAGTTCATTGTTAGTTCATGTTAACTCATGGTGCATTAACTAATGTTAACAAGCATGGACTTGAATGTTAATAATGCATTAGTACATGTTCAATTATGATTAATAAATGCTGTACATGTGTTGTTCATGACTAGTTCATGATAGTAAATGCATTAACTAATGAACCTTATTGTAAAGTGTTACCCAGATATCTTATTTGCCTGATTAATAAATGGCAATAATTTCTTCTTCCAAGTGTTGTGTTACCAAACCATAAAACAATATTATATGTGAGAACACTCTCTACCAATGATCTATATGCCATGTTTAAAGTCTGTGTACTAACATTAAAACTTCTCAACTTGCTGGGGAGACTAAGGTGCTTATTGCCTTCTAATAAACAGCCACATTATTATCAAAATTCAATGTGCCTAAATACTTCAAATGTGAGACCTGCTCTACTATTTTTACATTTATGATGACCGGTTTATAAAATCTACAATCTACTGCTCTTGTTTGACTAACTTTGACTAGTTTGTACATTTTCATATTTGGGTGAACAACTACTTTAAACTGTGATGTTGTACAGCCATTTTCATTTTAGGTCAACTCTCAGGTATTTCCATGAGTGCATCACACCACTTTTACTTCCTCTTTAAGACATGCTGGATATTTTTCAAATCGAATGCAGTTCACTCTTTTAATTTTCCCTTCACCACAAGGTAAAATCTTTTTACCAGTTTCAGGATCAAATATTGAAGGCTTGTATTGGTGTTGTAGAACATAAACAGGAAGGGAACCTAAACCTACACAAACTGGCAATACCACAGAGTAGATCAAATTAAATCCTATGTTTTGAGGAGACAAATGAATAAGAACACATTAAATACTTTAGTTGAATTCTTCTGTTTATTTGACACTAAGCATATTATGCATGAAGTTAAATCACAGACATCACCCGTCTGCATTCAGTATGACATATACTTTCAGTAAAACATAACTATTTGTAGGCAATGCCATCTTGCATGTAAAACAATACTTTCAAAACACAGGACAGCCTCTGTCTTTTAAACATATGTCTTTAAAAACATAAACAGTTTAAAGTTATACTTTTTTCAGATAAAAGAACTTTGCAGTCAAACTAAACCAAAGAGAATACACATCATCATCCCTGTAGGCAGTCATCGTCTCTATATTTCAGCTTCATCTGTGTTTGTGCAATTGTGCTGAAAGAATCTCCACATCCATCTGCTCCCACAGACTGAAGGGTCTTGCTGTCAAGGTTCAGATGTTTATTTCTGGGTGATGGGAAATGAATTCTGGTCCATCAGTTCTCCTACTCGCTCCTGGAGAATCTGCACAACTTCAGCTAAGATGAAAACATGCGTGTCGTCCAAATCCTGGATGATGAATTTCTTCCCCAAAGCTGACGTCTCATCCAGATATAGTAGAAACTGCTTCATAGCTGGATCACTGGGTCACATTTAAAAAAAAAAAGAGAGAGAATTATATATGAAGGTGCACTACTACTAGAGCATGACTTTTATTTTAAAGGTGCACTAAGAATAGAGGTTTGTCAAGCCTGTATTTGATGTTATTGACATCTGGCTTTTTTCAGATTGAGGTAAAGTGGGTTTTATATCCTGCATATTCAGATTTTCTCCTTATAATATAATTTCAGAAAAGTATTCTTTACAAATTCTAAATAGGAAAATCATATAAGCAGCCAATAACTATCAAAGTACAACATTGTTCACTGTCAGTTAAATCGTGCTAATGTTGTTTTGAAGTCATACTTAAATTAAATTTCAGACCCCATATTCAAATTAGCGTGGTAAACGATATAGAGAGCTTTAAAATGAACAAATATAAAAAAATAACTTTACCTCAATTATTTTCAGTTGCTTCTCAGGAAGTAAACCATCGAAATTGTGACAATAAACAGAATTAAGTTCACAAATACTGCACAATTTGAAAGTTTAACTGATCCGATACCGTGCTAAGGATGTTGCCTCGTGGTAAAGAAAAAGTTTTTAGTTACAGGTAACAGTGAATAAATCCAAAATCTAACAAAACGTGCTCAGGGGTAGCTTATATAATCGGTGCTCTTTGGGTAAGGGATTCATCAAAATGAACAGCAAAAATCCATCCAAAGCACTCGAAAAATATGGAAAAAATTTTAAAAAGCCTTTATTCACATAAAAAAACTACAGTTTTTTGCCTTTATAAAACAAAGAACTGTTCTTTTCCGAAACGCGTAGGTTTTTTAAAGATTAGCCATGTGAATAAAGACTTTTTAATATTTTCTCCACATTTTTCAAATGCTTTGAACTGATTTTTGCCGTTTAACAGTGAATAAATGTTAACCATCTGTCGACTGTAATTATATTCTCGCAAGTAACGTTTACGTTAGTGAACAGTTGTTCAGCAACATTGCTTTAGTGGCGTAAAAATGTAAAATAAAAGTACTTTTCTACTAGGGCTGCACAATATTGGAAAAAATATACATTGCAATAATTTTTATTCCGTGATATACACTGCAATATGAATACAATTTCACCAGATTAGTTAAAAAACGGTTTGTAAATAATTTATAATTTTAGACGGATTGGGATGATTCATAACATATAACAAGCAACCTACAAGCATAGATGAATTCAATAAAGAAAAAATTGCTAATTAAATAAACAGCATTTTATTGCTTTCTGAAGAGTCTAAATGTATTCAGGTACACATGAATTAAATAATCAGATGTAAAATAATACTGCATAGTCTTTGTTTTTTATAAACAAGTCAATAAAACGAATCATTATAGCAAAATGATTAATTATAATCCAGACTCAACATTGTGATCACATTGCGATATCGATGCTGAAACGATATATTGTGCAGCCCTATTTTCTACTAATCGGATATGAATCCACATTGTGTGTAAGCACATTAGATTTAACACATTTCTTAAATAAACCCACCGTTGGATTCTCGTTTAAATGTTGTATTGAGGTAAAATGACCAGTGCAGCTTTAAATGGCAGTGGTATGTAAAACTTACCATTCAACGAGAACTCCTTTCAACACGTTGACCATTTTGGACGGGGTGTGTTAACACTAACGTAACTTACTGCTGCTTCAGTAAAGGTACAGTAAAAGCTCTGTATGAGAGAAAACGAAATAGCAACAAAGCCGTCCACCATGAATGACGTTAGTCCTTACAAATATTTTACATTTTGTTTACAGCTCTTAAACCTATACTTTAAAGACAGCGTTAAAACATACACACTAACATTCTTATTGTCTTTTGCCACTTTACTTTGTTGCAGTGACTGGTGTCAGAAAACTATTTAGCGTTTAGAAACAATGGTTTTCCTCTACTCACCGACTAGTATTGGACCAGTCAACTCCACTACCCTCTGCTGGCTTGGAGCGCAGTTCAGATCCTATTTGACTGCTCTCATACCCTGACAGAAAAGTACAACACCCACCTGGAAGTTTCTCGCAATCCTGAAGACTTTGATTATTTGGGACATATCTGTTTTGAATTGCGAATACTAATCCCTTTTTATTTAACGGTTACAATAGTGTGTCATAGAGATTAGAGTACTCATTTGCATTACAATACCGCTACTGTGCATTCGTTCATTTCCCTTCGGCTTAGTACCTCTATTCATCAGGGCCCACTTCTCCAGCATATGTTTTACACAGCGGATACTCTTCCAGCTGCAACCTAACTGGGAAACATCCATTCACACTCATATACTATTCACCTATAGAGCATGTCTTTGCAGTTTGGACTGTTGGGGAAACCGGAGCACCCGGAAACCCAATGCCAACACGGGGAGGACATGCAAACTCCATACAGAAATGGCAACTTACCCATCCAGGACAAGCCACGGTGTTGCCCTGCTTTACAGTGAAAGTGTTTATTCTTGGAGAGGAAAGTTTGGATTCAAAACTTTATTCACATGACAAAGATTTGGCAAAATAAAGTACTGTGGTCAGTGAATTAGTACAAATGTATTGGCAATTACAGCAACATCAGTACTTGTGTGTCTGAGGTAGTAGAAAGAAAGCTGGTGAACCAAAAAAAACAAGGCAAGGTTTCATTAGCATGTCTATTTTGTTCAAGTAGAATAAATATTATAAATAAAACTGAGTTTAAAAATGTGCAGTGATGTAGTAAACATACTAAGTTTGATAATCCTTTTTTTTGTTATGTCTAGTTAAAATAAATGCTAACAAGTGCTCATTCAAATTACTCTGAAATGATATACAGTACAAGGCTTTGAAGGGGTAAAACATTAAAAGTTAAACAAGGATTTTACCATAATACATATTCATATGGCAAGCATAAATAATAATAACAATACAAGTGAAATGTCAGTGGTATTTCAAATGTACAGGACATTACAGTTTAGATGTCCAAAAAGCTCCAGTTGCAATTGTAAAACTTCCTTCCTTCATGGCAGTCATAGATAACACTATCTTTTAAAAAGTGATGCTTAAATCCTTAAGAAAGCAATTGAAACTGTAAAGACTTTCACTTAATTCTACGTCCCCCAAGAGCATCCTGAATAAACTGTAAAGTACGCTTATAAAGAAACGTGTCCTTCTTTTCTGGCTTGCAGATGTTGAGGTGATCAACGTCCACCTGGATGAGGTCTCCAATACCCAGATCTGAAAGAGCAAAAGAGGAAACCGTGATACCAGGTACCTAAAACTAACAATCATTATAAACCAGGGGTGTCGAACTCAATTCCCCGAGCTGCTCTGCACAGTTTAGTTCCAAACCTGCTTCAACACACTTACTTGTAGGTTTCAATCAAGCCCGAAGGACTCAATAACTTTGATTAGGTGTGTTTAATTAGGGTTGAAACTAAACTGCAGAGTTGCAGCCCTCCATGAACTGAGTTTGACACCTGTGTTATGAACAAATGGTGACAAGGAAGAATATGGTGCATCCCAAATTGCACACTATTCTACGGCATTTTGTAGTATAAATAGTATAAGTATAGTGTGTTCACACTGAAAAGTCTAAAAAGATTTAGTGCACTTTAGATACCTGGATGATGCACTTATTCAACCAGTAAAATGAAGTGTTGTATGATGGACACTTCACACACTTAACATCCGCTGCTTTGCTCACATAGAAGAAGAGGTAGAGCTTTCAGGCTCGAATGATTGGATTAATTTATTTATTTTGGAATGTAAAAGCAAAATTCTTAAAACAAGATTAATTATAGCGCCTCCCAATGGTGAATGTGGTTCTACTCATTGCAAATATTATTTGGTAGTTTGGTCATTTATTTCACTAATTTGGATGTCAAACATCATCAGGCAAACGGTTTGAATTTCTGCTATGTAAAAGAACCGTTAGGGTACTATTTGAGACGACACTACATACATACACTATGCTGTTGAGTGTGTAAGTGCTTAAGTGCAAAGTGTATAGTGTGCCATTTGGGACACAGCTTATGTCTTCTGTTTAATAAGACCTACCCGCTGAATGGGCTGGAACCACCAATATTTTGAGCATTGGTCCAATATAGGTTGGCACAGTTTCTGCAAAGCTAAGAACCTTGAACTCACGATCCTTTGCGATGTTCAGGAAATTTTCATTTAAGTCCCGTAATGCTGGAGAGTCTGAGGTAAAGCAGGTAAACATGAAAGCTAAAGTGTGAATGAGATCTGTATTAATCTCATCAGGAGGAATTAATATTGTACTAATATTCAGAAAGCAAAAAGAAAACATGTCATACCTCTACACAGTTCTTTGACTTCGATGGAGGGAAACAGAAGGTATCGAACACTCACTGAATACTCTGCCATGAAGGTGCCGTGATGAGGAACACTGTAGAACAGAATGCCCTTTGTGTTCTTGATCAGTGAACTGAGGTCAGGATCCTTCGCAGCGTCTAACAGCATCTTTTTTACAAGTAAGCCTATGACAAATGTTATGACAGAGTTATTTAATCAGTCTCCATATGACAAATGGTTTTTACCTACATACTGGGCTGTACAATTCATTACAACATTTTCTGAAATATAAACGGTATTACAAAATGGACTCAATGTATTGGTTTCTGTTTTTGGTCCAAGCTTTACTAAAAGTTTGAACTCATCCTAATATTTCTTCTCTTAACAAAACAATTTACAGTCAAGTGCACCTTAATTGTCTGATAAAAAGGGTTTGCAGAGATTATTAGGTGAAATATGAAATTTCTGGATCAGATATGAATACATAAGCAGATATAATATAATATATAAGCTTTTTGTATTTGTATTTAAGCTTTTATATATAAGCTTTTTGACTTGAAGACATTTTATTTACATAATGTTTAATATACATTTACATTACAGCATATTTTACCATAATATAACATTATGTACATAAAATGAGTAGTACAGAGAAAAGAGAGGGAAAAAAGGAAGTGGCACAAATCCAGCAAATCCCATACAAATTTATGGTTGTATCAAATTGCCCTTGTGCATTTAAACATGGTTTAGAAGATCATTTATAAAAGGACATCACATGCTAGTGAACTTGGTTAAAAATCATTTGCAATATGGTTTATTTTTTTATTCTACTGTAAAAAAATATATCGACAGATTAAAAATAAGAGATTCCAGAAAGCTTTACTTTCATAACTGGGTGCTGGTTATTCTAAGACCCACCATTAACTAACCTCCCATACTGTGGGCTACCCAAATCACAGGCCTTTCTCCTACACCTGCATCCTTCAACTTCCTCAGCAGTTCCTGACTCCTGAAGGCCAACGATTTCCTGTACGTCATAAAAAACAATGACATCAGAAACTCTACATTGAGTCAATCACGTGATTTAGGAATGTGCATTGCTCAAATTTACCTTTGATTTTCGACAGGACATTTAGAGTTCCAGTCACTTAAATGTGTGTCATACTCAACCGACAGGATTCTGAGGTTTGGACAGTCTGCTGCCAACCATGACTGTGGAAAATGCAAAATAAGATTTAAATTCCTGACTTTCAAAAATACATCTAAAGCCCTGAAAGGCCATTACACTGCAAATGATATTTGGGTAAGTGTGGTTTCAGGAAAATATATGACCTTGGGCCAGCATTCAGTGTAGTCCTCTCTGACTCCTTCTAACTTCTCATCATCAGTCACATCACAGTCCTTTTGACGCCATGTTTTAAAAGCTGCTCCCAAGAGGCCATGAACGAAGAGGACATCAGCTTTGATTGGCTGACTGAGAGTTAGAAATGGTTAATTCAGACCCAATCAGCAGACTGACTTTTAAACCATTGTGTAAAACTAAAGAATAAAACAAATAAATAAAAATAAAATTTGTTACACAGAAAGGCAAAATATAACTTAAATATCACTTTTAAATATTGAAATAAAATGCCACTTAAGTTTAACATAAACGTAAAATAAATATTCAAAATAATTGGCAAAATAATGTTGAAATAATGCCTTAGCATAACTTAGTTTAAAACATTTATATACATTGTAAAGGAAAACAACATCTAACGGTACGTATTAAATACATATAAAATAATAAATGATCATACAAAATTGTATTATATTTCTATTAATAAAACATTCTTGCTGACAACTTTGTAAATCTAGTGGTTTGAAAAATAATGGAGAAGTAGAAAGATAGTGCCTGTATGTAACGAGTATGTCTCCAACATTTATTAGATTTACTAGGAATATTTATGATTTTCTCCAATAGACCAACAGAGCAGCAATAATGTGTCCTGAAGTAAAGTGAAATGGCTATTAACTCCAGCAAGGTAATGTAATTGTATGCAAAACCATAGACCTTTATCTATAAATAAAGTATAATTATGGAAACTGTGTTCATCATGAAAGCTATGTTGTGTTTGTTGGCCTCTCGCACCATGCACCTGTCAGTAAGTCAGTATGTCACCTTAAAGAGTTAAACAAATGACAGCACCACTACTATGATGACAGAAAAGTTTGCGCTGTTATAATTCACTTACCTTTTAATGCATTTTGGAGCAATTATAACCTGATATAAAAATAAAACAATCACTGAATGTGAATGAGAAGCTGTAATGTAGCTGTGCCGGGATGAATTTTGGTGTGGCGCCCCGCTATGAAAGAATGAATGTAGCAGAAACCATGCTATAGTTACATTGAATGACCTTTTAGTGTCACTTAGAGCCTTCGGTAAATCATGGTATAAATACAGTATGTGATAATAATTGTTTTCTGCTTAGAAAAAAGTCTATCAATATAGCATTTTTATTCTTTTTTACTTTTTTAAGAAATAACTGCAAACCTTTGAAATTTAGCTTGTCCAAATAACTTAATATGCTTACTTGGTTCGGCATTGTGGGTGTAAAATGTAAACACCATCCTGGTACTTCTGCCTTACTGCATCTCTGTCCAAGTTGGCTAAGGCACGAGCAGCATGAGATGCCTGCATAATGTGTGGTGACTGGATCATCTCAGCCAGGACAGACATCCAACCTAATGACAGACATTCTATGTGAAACAACTTTTCATCCATTATTCAGTAAAATTTAAACACAAAACTAACCTGACTGTACTATGGTTGTGTGCAAATTCTCATTCAGGGCGAGATTTCCAATAATTCGCACAATGTTGCGCTGAATTTTGGGAGAGTCTCTGCGAAGCTGGTAGACTCTTTGCAAGAGTTGCAATCCTCCATTAGCAACAATATGTTCACAATGACTGCGAACCTGTAAACAAAGAATGTCTAAATATAAAAATACTGATATTATTAGTTCACCCAAAAATTTCAATTAGCTGTTAATTTACTTATCTTCAGGCCACCCAAAAATGTGTAGCTAAATCATTTTTACTTGGTGCATAAAAAAATGAATAAAACATTTGCAAGGCCGTGAATTAAAGGGAATACTGTTGTAATTAATAATCTTGCACAGATGGATTATTTGCCATTATACATACTCATTGTTCGTCAAGAGCCACAACAAATATTTTTGTGTTGCCTGTATATGCTTTTTGGACACTCAAAGTATCCAAGTATATAAGCTGGTAGCCATCAACCACTATTTCAGCAAAACAAATTCTTAAAAGTACTACTGAAGAAAACTATGACCCTCATCTTGAATAACCTAAGGGGGACAAAATTAACTGCATTTATTCATCTCCTTAATACCAAAAGTCAAACTCTAGCTGCATTTCAAAAATACAAAAAACATCAGAAGCATCCTGTTTGCTTTGATCATTGGTTACTTCCTCTTTGCACAAAACATGTCCCTTTGCAGAGTTTGTAAGTCTTCACCTTTGAGTGCTGCACCAGGGCCTGCAGGCAGAACGTCTCCACCTTCTCAGAAGGGGTAGAAGTCAGACTTTGAGCATAGGGCAATCCATTTCCCCCAAAACACCACAGTCCTCCCTATAACCACAGACCAAAAAATGCATAACTAACAGACTGACTCTGTTTCTCCCATTCACTTTTTCATAGTGAGTAAAAAGTCTTCTATAAAGAGGGATGAACTAAATCAACCCATTAAAAGTAAATTACAACATTACAAGCTTCAAACTATTAATATAAAACAGTTTATTATGTACATACAAACTAAAAACGTATATTGCAAAATATGCACAAATAACAAATATTTAAGTGATAGATTCTTCCAATATGATAATGTACATTTAGCTTAGACCTTTTTGGAGATTTCTCTAGAGCATCATTTTGTTTTTCTCCAGGATTTCCACTATTAAATAAGTTGCAATAAGGCTTAAAAAGCACATACCAAAGAATAAATCTTATAGCTAACTGTATGAATTCCATTATGTAGAAAATGAATGGGATTTCCAGAACCCGCCTATTGCACTCTTCTGCTTGAGTGTGTTTGTCTCACCCGCTGAGAGGCGAGTGATTGGCTGCTTTCTCTAAGTGCCAGAGAAGTGAAGTACTGCACACACTGATCCACATCCGACTGGGGCAGAGATGCCAGTAACTGCCTGAGTCCATCTTCTATTGATATATCCTATACATGCACAAAACATTAGCACATGTAGCTGATACTATATAACAGTTCAACAGTTGTCTCATTTAATAGCTACTCACATCCTCAGTATGCGGCAGTGGAGGAGGAGGCAGAAAGAAGCGCAGGTCTACATTAGGTATGCGTGCAAGGGCCACTGCTGTGCGCTGATCTACCACCTGTGCTGCAGTCTGGTACTGATAATCTGTGATGGAAAAGACAAATGACCAATCAGAGTTTGTTTAGTGATACGTTTCTAATCTCTACCCAATAAAAAATATTTTACTCTAATTTTGACTTTAATAGATCGTTGACCTAAAAATCATACCATGTAAACTATGAACTTTGGGGCTTTTTAAAATGGAAGGTAATGGCAAATGATACCGAAAACAAAGAGGCAAAATAAAATAAATACTCATCACTCCTGCTGATACATTAAAGCCTTAAAGGGATAGTTTACCCCAAAATAAAAATTAACCGTTCATTTACTTACCTTCAGGTCCTCCAAGACATTTTTTCTTAAGTAAAATATTTGAAAAGATTTTTAGCTGAATCTGTGGTCCTTGGTGATTCCTAAAGTGCCAGTCAATGCTTCCAGTTTTTTTTTTTTTTTTTTTAAATAAGCACATGCAAACCAGTCTAAATCAATCCTCTTGGCTCCTGAATGATACACTGAGGTCTTAAGAAGCGAAACGATTGGTCTATATAAGAAATTAAACATTATTTACAGTATTATTAGCTTCAATCTACAGTTTAGGCAAACAAAACTTGGCATGTGACTGGGTGTAGTGAACAGAAGCTTCCGGTCGTTTGATGATAAATGTGTAAGCACGCACTCATACACACTGTAAAAAATGTAGGCTTCCACACAATTCATTCATTTTTTCCAAACACAAATCGATTTAGGTAACTTATCTGATTTAAAAAAATTTAAGTAGATTGAACGTATAATTATTTATTAGTCCCCCCGGCAAAAATTATATATATAAATATAAAAATAAAAAAAAATCAATAGCAATTGCACTGACCAATCATTTCACTACATAACACATATAATCAGGAGCCATGGGAATTGATTTAGAGTTGTTTGCATGCATTTATTTTCAATTTTGAAAACGAACGGCCATTGCCTTGCATTATACGAAATACCAAGGGCCACAGATTCAGCTAAAATCTAATAGTCAATACCAGTACTGTATCTTCAAAGGCCTAAGGGTGAGTAAATTAACTGTAAATTAAATCTTTTGCCTGAACTATCCCATTCAAGTCAGACAATCTTGAAACTGGAGAAATCTATAAGAATTTGAAGTTTGCCATGTCTCACCCCGCCAGTGGTGATTGTGAGCCAGTTCCTGAACCGCCAGATGTCTTACTGCCCTGTCAGCAGAGCGACTTCTCTTCAACAACACCCATAGAGCACATTCATGAGGATCTGCATCTAGATGACTGAGATGCTCTGATAGGAACAAACATTACCACATGCTTTTTTAAGAAAACATGGAAACAAAGTAGAGATTATGATATTATATTATTTGATATGTAAAAAAAAATATTTTGCCAAAAGTTAGAATTAAGACATATTTTGACAAAAGGCAACTGTAAGAACAGATGCCTTCAGTTAAACATGCTGAATTCAGTACTTCTGACTGTCTCTAATATTGTCTAATCTACTTCTACAGTACAGTTTAGGGGCCATTTACACAGAATTTGTTTTTGCTGCACAAAAATACTAGACAAGAAAACAGTTGAACACTTTTTAGAACACGGTGTCAAGCACAATATTCTGCTAAAGAAATAAAAGTGACAGTTAAATGATTTCATCTAGCACTTTTACATAAGAACAAATGATAAAAGAATTGCAGAGGGATGAAAATATATCTTCTGTGGTAATAACCCCTTATTCTCCTCACTGGAACCCAATCAAAAGTCTGGCCTCAAGTAGATTTTTTATTTCTTTTCATCAGAGATGCATTTAGTTTATCAAAGAACTGTAATGTTTTACATTTTAAACAAATGGTTCGATTCTACTTTCAACTGTATTTGAATAACCTTAAATACAATTCAATACAAGGTATTCCTCTGATGGCCAGGCTGAAATCATTTTTAAAATGCTAGTTTCCTGCTCCATAATCAGCTCTGCTGCTTAACAATTTTGAAAAATTCATATGTACTTTAAACTATTTATTCTAAAACATTTATTTATTTTTTTAAATTGATTGTAAATTTGATCATTTTCATGTTGAAGAAAGGTGTTAAGTTTAAGTTATTTCATAGAATAAAATCTTGTAGACCCAAAGCTTTTGAACGGTAAACTATAAACTACTTTTCAGTCACAAACCTGTTCTCAAGTATGCTTTGATTAAAAAAAGAAGACAGAGAATATCAGAGTCCACATTATGCAGAAGAACAGTACAGACATTAAAATACAGTACCTTCCCAATTTAAAAAAGAACATAACTCTATGTCAGTTCCTCATTGTGCAGCTACAGGGGACATTTAGGTCAAAAATCAGTCAACAAATGCAGATGTTTCCTGAGATGCAATGCAACCACACTGTCCCTAGGTGTTTTAAAATGCACATCCTCTGGTATACTGCAATTATGCAGATGCTTTTAGACAGTACCTACTGTCAATATATTTATTTATATTATTTTAAAAGCATTGACAAGAATTGTCCTACTCACCGTCCAGTGGGTGATGCAGAACTCTTGATGTAATTTCAAGAAACTTTCTTGCTGCTTTATGAAGCTCCCTTCTGGTTTTGATTGTAAGGCCTGGACAAATAATAAATGTTGAGGGCAAATATTAAGTTTCAAATGTAATACAAACAACTGTTATACAGTTTAATCAAACAGCACATCTAAAATACAATATCAAACAATAAAATCTAATCTAAAGACCAGTGTTGCCAGATTGGGCAGTTTTAAATTTGACTGTGCGGGTAAAAAATGGCATTGGCGGGTTGACAAAATTTGGGTGGTTTTAAAACGTAAATTTTATATGCAACTTATTAAACAAAACATTACTGTGTGCTCCTACCATATTCAGTTAGTAGTGACCAGTGCATAGAGCAAACGTCGTGGGTCCATCCGCAAGAGGAAAGGAAGGTTACGTGCATGTGCATCAAGCAGCACCTGCAGTTAAACTCACAGCGTTTTTTTTTCTTGACAATTTGATTAATCGTTTTTTTTTTGCAATTGACCGCAAGAACAAACATAGAAGAGTTGTCTGATTGACAAGCAGCACCTAATTATGTTAAAAAGAATTTAAAGTGCCAAAATGGGATGAATTTATACCCCATTTGAAAAGTAAAATATACTCTACTATGTAGTGTAATCTACACATCATTAAGTGCAATGTGTGGATGAGAAGAGGCAGCCAATGTTTCGATGTGATCCAGTAATGTTGTGGTTCTGTGACTGCTGGTGTTGGTTGCTGCATGGTTAAAAATTATGACAGTTAAAGTCACTAGGTTATTTCAATTTAATCCCAATTTCAAATGAATTCACTTTCAAATTGGGTGTATTTTTGTGCGTTTGTGCAGGTTTTGGACCGCTTTTGGGCTATATCTATTTTGCTATATCTGGCAACACTGCTAAAGACTTATGATATCCTTGCAAAAAGAAGATAAAAATATAATTTATGCACTGCAGTTTCACCAAACAACTTTTAAAAATGAAAAAATTTTACTTTCTGTGTTTCATTCAAACTTTCACATTTCATCTCTAACAAGTATATTCTTCAGTAAATCTGAAACTACCCTGGCACTTTCATATATCATATACATATATCATATATCTTCATATATCTATTGGTATGGTAGTATACCACATTTGCAAGCTGTATTCGAAAAATGAATGTAAATGCAAATGCATCTTTTGAGTCACTGAAAAATGTAAACACTCTCTCCAGCACAAAAAGTGTTTAAATTTCCACGCACCAGAAGCAAGGCTCTCCTGCTCCCTATTAGTGCTGTGAGTGGGGTAGATGTAGGACTTCTGCTTCTCCTGTAATATGGCACTGGTGTCGATTGTCAAGGCCTGGTTAAGAGTAACCACCTCATATGTAATGAAAACACAGCCTCTGTGGAAGCAAACATGATCTATTCAGAATCACGTATTTGTGAGGGATAACAAATATGGCTTGATGATATATTACTTGGAATGTTCCATTATTCTTTGTCAAATGTTATTGATGGCTTGTCAACATGCATGCAAAAAACAGAAAACAACACACCTACCCAAATACTATAGCTCCAGTCACTTTTGCTATTCTTCCTATACACAAAAGAGATGAATTCCAGCATTCAGAATTACTCAATTTCACAAAACAATAAACCATATAGTATATAAGGGCCAACAGAATTGTAGCATAAAAAAAAAAAAAAAAAAAAAAAAAATATATATATATATATATATAAAAGTATATATATATATATATATATATATATATATATATATATATATATATATATATATATATATATATATATATATATATATATAAAAGTAGTTTTGGTTTGATGTTTTAATGTTTTATTTATGTATTTATTAATTATCTAATGATTGATATATGACATTTCACGTTTAACAGTATAATTTATAACTGTTGTGATTACTTGTATTTTTTTTGTGGCAGAAGATATATCATATGGAAGGTAATTCCTGCCGATTTTAAATAAATCAAATAAACATTGGAAATTAAAATGAAAATCAGAATAACAATTTCATTATATAACACTGTTTGCAAAATATTTGCCAAAATTAAAAATAAATTATTTAATTTACATTTTCACTGTGACAACACATCGTCCGTGTCAAATCAATAATTAAAATGAAGTTGCTGATTAAAAATGTAATAAAAAATAAATGAAATAATGAAAAAATAAAAAACATCATTTTTTTTGTGATGATTATATTAGAAATTGTAATGTTTTTGATGGGAATTCAAATAGTCTCCACTGATTTTTATTTATTTTTGCCTTTTATGGTGGTATGCTAAAACCAATCAATCCTAATAGCACAGTATATGTTCCGAAACACATTAGAAAATATTACAATGTACTGGTTTGGATGGTAAGAAAAAATATGATTTAATGTTTTAATGGTATTTGTGGTAGAAACCAAAAACCCTTACAACGGTTGTAATGGGTCTTTTTTTCTGCAGGTTATTGTTATTATTGAAGAGAAAATTTAGGCTGTGTGTCAAATCCTTACTGATGTCTCTCCATGGCAGTGCTCTCTTCACGGCGGGTCCGGAGGTGCTCAGCCTCCGCACGCGGATCAGTCTCAGGGCGGACACAGACATTGGCGGTTCACTCGCAGATATCCGACGATCACACACATCAGACTAGGCCAGAAGCCAGAAGCCCGGTGTTTGTGATGGCTGGTGATAAATATTATTCTTCACACCTCGTTTATAACCTACATACTAAAAATTAGCAAGAAATGGTGGAGAGGTCATGAAGTGAGTCACTGTCGGCTGTTGTTTTTTCAACATATGAGCCACTACCTTTACAACACAGCCTGATGATTTCTTACTAGTTAACGGCTCTCAATGGTCTCACATTAATGACAATTCCTCATATTTTGAGATTTAATAATCAGTCGGCTTGTGCATTAAAAACCCGAAATTAAATGTGTAACGTTAGCATTTGAGCGACATAATGCATTCTCTGTGTTCAATATTGACATTTAACGACTAAAACTGTACGTTAAATGTGTAATTTACCTATGAAAACTGAAGGCTGTTCCAATAAACGCGCCATAAAAACACTTTGACAGCAAATATAAACAGGAACTGTTTTCAGATTGAACGCACATGAACGTAAAGCGTCATTACCGTAAACAACACAAATGTCAATGTCACGCGTCAAAAATGTCCTACCGTAATAGTCTAATGGGCAATCAATTTTTATTTTTCTTCTCGACCGGTGTACAGCACATTCTTTCAACTTAAAGCAGCTGAGAAGATCAGCTGGAATCTTGACGAGATAACACTCAAGACTAAACAGAGGAAAGCTATCTGTCTAATCACAGCTGGTTCGGTATGTCCACAAAAAAGTTGAATTCTTTGCTCACATTTTAACCTGTTGAGACAATTCCTTCCTCTTGTCAGGGAAATCTCCTCACCCATGGGTGTGATGCATGAATGCCAGGTCATTTCCAGGATGTGTGTGCTCTAAACGCTCTTCGAAACACGTTGGCAGCATATTGTTTTTTTGTCCTTGGTCTTTTCGGTTCTCAATAAGTTTTATTGTCGGTTCACTGACACGTTTAGACATTTGAATGGAATGTTCACCTGAAAAAGATTGTTTTCATTATCATATATTACCTTTATTTAATCACATTATTTTATTATTACAGTATTAACTATATGGTTAGTGTAACAAAACAACTATTTGTGTTTAAAATGGTTAAAAAAATGATATATAATTGATGTTGTGCACTATATATATATATATATATATATATATATATATATATATATATATATATATATATATATATATATATATTATATAGTGCTCAACATAAATGAGTACACTCCATTTTGAAAATGAATATTTTTATCCATTTCTCAGTGAATATAGGTAATATGTGTAATATATTATGGTGCATTTAAACAAAACAGATTTATTAAACATATATATTTATCAAAATAATAATTTATTCATCTAACATCTGTAGAAATAGAAAGACAACACATTTAAATTAATGTGAAATATTGGGGGGAAATTATAAACTACAAAATTTCAACAACAAAAAATAAATGTTTTGCTTCTTGAATTTTGCTCTTTTTTTTATTTAAAATTTTTCCCTAACATAAATTTGGTTGTATAAATTTTGGACCGTTATCGTAAGTTATTTTGTTAGATTAGCTCCAGATTAAGCTTCAGTCAGTACTATTACATAATATTGTAAAGCTATTTCCTATAGAAAATAATCATTTAAATTTAAAAAAGATTTGTTGTGAGGGGTGTACTCATTCATGTTAAGAACTATATATATATATATATATATATATATATATATATATATATATATATATATATATATATATATATATAAACAGTTAAAGTCAGAATTATTAGCCCCCAGAATTATTAGCCCTCCTGTTTATTTTTCCCTAATTTCTGTTTAACAGAGAGAATTTATTTCAACACATTTCTAAACATAATAGTTTAATAACTCATCTCTAATAACTGATTTATTTTATCTCTGCCATGATGACAGTAAATAATATTTTACTAGATATTTTTCAAGACACTTCTGAATAGCTTAAAGTGACATTTTAAAATCTTAAGTAGGTTAATTAGGTTAACTAGCAGGTTAGAGTAATTAGGCAAGTTGTTGTATAAAGATGGTTTGTTCTGTGGACTATAGAAAAACAAAATAGCTTAAAGGGGCTAATAATATTGACCTTAAAATGGCTTAAAAAAATTAAAACTGCTTTTAACCTAGCCGAAATGAAACAAATAGGACTTTCTCCAGAAGAAATAATATTATCAGACATACTGTGAAAATAGCAAAAAATGTCCGTGCTCTGTTAAACATCATTTGGGAAATATATATATATATATATATATATATATATATATATATATATATATATATATATATAGTTGAATTCAGAATTATTACCCCCTTGATTTTGTAATATATATATATATATATATATATATATATATATATATATATATATATATATATATATATATATATATATATGTATGTATGTATGTATGTATGTATGTATGTATGTATGTATATGTGTGTGTGTATATATGTATATGTATATGTATATATATATATATATATATATATATATATATATATATGTGTGTGTGTGTGTGTATGTATGTATATGTATATATATATATATATATATATATATATATATATATATATATATATATATATATATATATATATATATATATATATAGCTTCAGTTATGAAATTATGCTTCTTTAGCAGTCTATCGCAAAAACCAACACAAACAACACTTTTGTGCTCTATAGGAGAAAGTAAAATATTCAGTATTCAGGTATATTCAGGTAAATTTCTTTGTATGGTACAGTGTCTAACATAGTAAGATAAGGGAATCTTTTTGAGTTAAAAAATAACATCATGTTGCAAACAAAAATCTATTGCAAAATGCTCTGTGTCAGAATATTTTTATGATTACAGCTGCATTGAGAAATACTTACAACCATTTCAAAAGACTAGAGTTCCCAGAAAACAAACCAATAAATACAAAATCTAATGAGTCTGGTGCAAAACAGAGTTATAACAACTGCTTGGTCTAGGAATTGCAATAACTGCTTTATCCTCTTGCTTACCTCAACCTTCCTTATCTCTTGCTTTATTTATCCTTTCCCTGTTTCTCTGCATCAACATTCTCATCTATCAAAAGCAGATTGGCTTGATAGTCTTATATAGTCAGAGCAGTAGAATTCTTACTGTCTTTTTCAAACATTCTGATACAAGTATTTCACACTGACTTTGTACACACACAGAAATATACACACATACAAGTTTGAAAAACTGGCCATGTCAATTAAAGGCATACATTAGATGTCCAGTTTTCAAGTCTATACATGAATCTTGCCCCAAAACTGCAGAATCTCCCCTATTTTAATTTACGTGGTTGTCTCCTGATAGGCTCGTATGATGCTGTCATAGGCAGGCGGTGGAGTCTGGCCAGCATGGAAACCTCTTAGATTGCTGTTGCCCCAGAAGGAATCTGGTCTGTTTCTGGCCCTGGGTGGAGTGATCATAGAACTGACGGTGCTGGTGGATCCAGCTGCCCCAGGGCTGGTAGTGAGAGTGGGGGTCCTTGGCAGGCTGCCCTGGGCACCTTCCTCTGCCTCGCGAGCAATCTGGCTACACTGGAGAAGAGGATGAAATGTTGAGGCCCGGAAGCTTGATTTGCGACCTGTTGAGTCTCCATAGTCTATTGGCGAGGATGAGGTCTGCCGGTGGAATGAAAAGGCGGCGCTGGCCAGACTATTATTACTGCGCCGATCGTAGCCACTGCTGTGCCGACTGTAACCCAGCCGAGATCGAGGTGAGGATGAACGGGTGGTGGAACGGGACTGGTGGACAGGTATGCGGGTGATGGTGGCCGAGGCCCGTCGACGGGACATCCAGGTCAATATCATATAGACCAGAGCTCCAAGCAGAAGACCAACAACCATAGAAAGAAAGAAGGCCAGAATCACATCCGCTGGAGGAAGAAAGGAAAATGGTAAAAACATGTTTTTTTAGCAAGCAGGCAGCACTTATGGGATTAACTGAGTGGCCACAAAAGATTGAATACCCTTTTGGCAAAGTTTGCTTAAGACTGGGAATGTAATATATGAGTTCTGCTCAGACTTTTGTCCCGATTTGCAGTCTGGCAATTAGACACCAGTTGTTATAAGAGTTATAAGAGCCAGTTTGCAGATTTGGGGCATTCTGAGATGACAGATTTTACATGCACTATGCACCAAAACTTTTAGCTTTAAATTTTGGATATGCTAGTCAAACCCAAAGTACAGTAGTCAATATTTGTATTAGTGGATCACAACCATTCATTAAAGTTGTCATAAAATTATTAAACAACACCCATACTTGTCTTAGGACTATTTTAATCAACCTTTTTTGATCCATTTCAAATGTTGACTACTGTATATTTCAGCTGAAAGAACACTATTCTTGTGATGTAATTTTAATCATCAATAGATGTGTCTGTGGATGTTTCAGTCATCCATGATGATCTGCACACTATCCACTGGATGTATTGTTGTCATTAACAATGTTTACACATGCACTTTTGTAATACTGAGCCTGATTTGACGATTGTGAATTCACAATTGAAAAAGAAGAGACAGCAGAACAACAAAATACTGTAAATAACAGTATAAATAAACTAATAAACAAATGTTAATAAGTGCACTCAAGTGCATTTTTTGGAGTCATTCACACATAACGTGTCTGTTTCTAAAAACGTGAGATGCATCACTCAGGAATGTAAAAAAAAAAAACTCCTCTGTCATGTTGCCATCAAATAAAGTAGTTGTCATACCATTTTCCTACTGTAAACAGAAGCTTGGAGTTCTTCTTATTGGTTTGCTGCTTTGGAATTGAATATTTTAATTTGACATGGCAGATTAAATATTTTTGCACTGCAAAAAATGAGCAGAACACACAAGACAATAGCAGGCATCATTTAATCATGTGTTTAAATAGAAAAACAATAGAAAATGAATTGTATTGTAAGTTCTGTGTGAATGGCTCCTTATTGCTGATCACTTTTAGAGAGAAAAAGCACAAATACTGGACAAAGATGTATAGCTCTAGTGCGCATGTAAGTAGGTCACATGAGCATCATTGAGATCATTTAATGTAAAACATACAGTACTCTCATAGTTTATCACATAGCAAATATAT